GCACTGGAAAAGAATGTACAATATATTTTGTTGTTGTTCTATAAAGCTCTGTTAGGTGTAGTTGGAGTATAGTGTTGTTCAATTATTCTATATTCTTCTTGATCTTCTGTATAGTTAGTCTTTCCATTATTGAAATTGGTATATTGCAGTCTCCAACTATTATTATGAGATTGTCTAATTTTTCCTCCTATTATATAAGTTGTTGCTTCATGTATTTAGTGCCTCTGTGTATGGGTGCATATGTATTTATAATCATAAAATCTTACTGATGGATTAATCATTTTATCATTATAAAATATACCACAGTAATATGTGATTATTTATTTTAAAATCTCAGTAATATGTGCTTATTTATTTTAAAATCTATTTTTGTCAATGTTAACATAGCCTCTCCAGCTCCTTTTTTTGGCTATTGTTTCAAGGAATATCTTTTTCCATCCTTTTACTTTCAATGTATTTGTGTATTTGAATCTAAATTTGTCTTACAAATAGCATGTATTTTAACCTTGTTTATAATTCAGTCTTACAATCTGTGTCTTTTGATTCAATTATGTAATCAATAATATTTAATGTTATCATTGACATGGCTTTATGTTTTCATGCAATTTTCCTTTTTTTGTTTCTATATGTGTAATGACTACTCTTGTCCTGCATTCCTCTCATTGTCTTGAGTGGCTATTTTCTGTGCAACTTTTTCATTACTTTAAAAATTTTAAACTATGTTTTTGAAGTTTTATAGTGGTTGCTCTTGGGTTTTGAATATATAGCTTAACTTATCAAAATTGGCTTCGTATTTACATTAACATGATTCCAAAACACTTGCATTTTGAGGTGATTGTAGTATTTATTAGCTTTGTTGTCTTAGGTAAGTCACTTTTCTCCCATGCATTTGAGAGTCAGACTGTAATTTCAGGTCTCATATTAACAGATTTTCAAATCTTTGAACAGTTCAAAAGCCACACATTTTGTTAGCAAGGTTGGTGGACTTCTAGTGACGAGTTTGCATCACAAAAGATAGAATCCTTATATTTGCTCATGAACAAGATGATTTGGACAGAGTTCTTAGTGCATTACCCAATGAAGGTATGATTATAACTATTAGCCTAGAAATTATCAGAATTAATGGAGGAATTATTAGCTGTGTGAGTTTGAGCAATTTACTTAAACTCTTTGTGCCTGATTTTTCTCAACTGTAAAATAGGAATAACAGTGGCTACATCATGGAGTTGTGCAAATTAGGTAAATAAATATATGTAAAGGACTTAGAATATTACCTGACATATAATAATGCTGGTTAAATGTTTTCTACAGTCCTATTATTGTTACCTTGAAATTTTTCTAACCTATAGCAAACATGCAAAGTTCCTGGGGTTTTTCCAAAGTTCTTTGGTTGAAATGTTCATTTTCTATAACTACCAACTCCACTTCTAGCAATGGAAACTTGTTTTCTAAGCTGGTTCAGTTAGTGAGCAGGAAAGCTCAGTTGTTTGAAAAAACACTAGGAAGTAAAGGTAATCCAGTGTGAAGGATGAGCTAAAATTCTTCTAGGGAATTTGCTTGAAAATAAATTTTATGCCCTTTCAGAGATGTAGTGTCCTAAATGAGCTGATTGGAAACCTGGCCTTGTGATCTTTTTTTCCACTGAAGCAAAAGAAGATTGTATAAAAAAGAAATGGCTACAGGATCCAGGATTTTGCCTTTCTTTGTTTCCTGGAAGACTTCAATATGTCCGCTAATTAGAGGTTGCAGTGAGCAGATATTGTACCACTGCATTCCAGCCTGGACAACAGAATGAGACCCTGTCTCAGAAACAAAAAGGCATCCACTAATTAATGCAAAGTTAGTAATTAACTGGCTCCCTTTCCTAGAACATGGTCCAGGTACTCTGTTCACTTAAAGACTATCAGAGTTACAAAAACTGTTAGCTGGAATGATACAGGCATGGTTAAAATCCTTTGGTTACATTTATACTGTTTCTAGGGAACCTGGCATAGTGCTGCACTACTTGCACTATGGGTGATTTCACCCAGTCCTTTGATATTGTTGGCAGAAAGAAAAATTGATTTGGGTTTGAAGTGTGAAGGTCCCAAGCATCTGGCTGTTCTTAATCAAATGTGTAAATTTCCATTTGGAAGTTAGTCATATTTCAGTTACTTCCTTTTCAAACAGATAAAAAAATGAAATGCATATTCCTCCAGATAGTTCTGAATGCACTTTTTAAGCTGCGTATTTATTTCCTCCCCCAGTAGCATAGACATCAACAACTCAATGAGTGTCTTTTTTCTAAAGGACATTTTGAGTTAAGTTTTACAGATATAAACTGGCTGATTGGAGAAAGCCCTGGGAAGACATTTGTTTTCCCCCTTCCACCTTACAAATGTTAGAGTAAGCAAAACTATAAGGTTTGCAGCAATAAGTGAGTTAAAGGAAAAAGGGGATGATAGCGGATAAGTCTTAGTACTTTCTTGTTAATGGGATTTTTTTTTCTTTATCTGTGTGTATTCTTTGGCCTAAAATAATATCTTGGTGTAAATTTGTATAAAAAGGGGCAAAATGATACATGTTTTCAGCTGATAGGTAAAAAAGTCTAGTTGTTGTTTTGGTTCGGTAAAACAGAAGGTCAGGGAGAATAATTTTTGCAAACACTACTATCCATTTTGGATTAAACAGATATTAATCCTATCATCTTGGAGTTTACAGTTGGGAGAGATCAATGTTAATAAAATTGCCACACAAATTACACAACAGTATGTAAAATTATACCAGTAAAAAGTGCAATACATGAAAGGTCCATGATGCTATAAGACATATAGTATGTGGATATGACCTAAACGAAGGGTTAAGGAAGGGTTCCCTGAAGGCATGATTATTGGGATAGGATTTGAAGGAAGAATAAGAATTAAACTAGTGAAAGGAAAATTAGAGAGGGAGGAGAGTGTTCCAGGCAGAGGAAATAGCACTTAGAAATATCCATGGCATGAGGGATCCTATCTCATTCTAGGGACTGAAAGAGGATCAATGAGGTTGAAACTCAGAAGAAGGGAGGAAGACTGATGCTAAAAGAGCATGTGACCCAGTGGCATTGTAAAAGATCTGCTACATTGGTGAGATTAATCTTGTGTCCTTGAGGGAGAAATGAAGACAGAAGAATTGGAAGACTGATGAGTATTTATTTGAATAGGAGAAAGGTAGTGAGCTGATCATATAGACAGACAGTGATCATGACTGTAGGTTAACTCTTCAATCACTATAGTGCATTGAGTTGTTACAATAAAGGACTCCTCTCAAAGGCTTTTCTCCTTACCCTTATTTTCTCTTTACAAACTGGTCTCCCTCTCACCTACTCTCACTTTACATCTTCTGCATTTGATCACTTTGCTCTTCCCACCTAGAAAGATATCCCCTTCCATTTTTGGTTTATTTAATACTGAATCATCCATCAAAATGTAGCACAAGTTCCACTTCTTCTAGGAAACCCTCCTGGCCCTATCCATGGGACTTCATCTGCATCCTCTGGTCTATTACAGAGCTCAATCTCCATATAACGGCCTTGATTTTTTTTTTTTCAAAATTTACCTTTGGTATCCCACATTTTTCATGTGTCTTTGTGTCTCCACCTAGACTCTGGTGTACCACAGGGCAGAGAATGTATCTTTTGCTTGTGGACTGACAAATGCACCAAGTAGTGGTCTAGTATGAGAGTTGGTAAAAGACCATTTATAAAGACGCAGACAGTGTCAGCAACTGACAGAAATAGACATATTTGAGATAAGCAGAGAGGGGAATAAAAAGAACGGAGATTGGGGGTGGGATGGAGGAGAGGAAGCAACAGAGAAAGTGTTTTTTTAGAGCCAGTCACAAGTAATAAAGCTAGTGTCAGCTTCTCACTAACTTGTTTACTGGCCTCCACTGATAGTGAGAAGAATCACAATAGAGCTGAAGAAATAGGGAGAATAAACAAGCTTGAAACATGCCCTACTTTGGAGGCAGCTTAATTACACATACCGAAGTTTTGAAGCAAATAGAGGATCCCCCAAGACTCCAGGGGCTCTGCTCTGCCGAGAGAAAGAAAGCACCTTATCCCTGGACAGAGAGCTTCATTCCAGAGGAGGGGGAGGGGCTGCTGTTGGTGGTGTTTGCAGTGGGTGGAGATAGAGTAGAGAAGGCTTGCAGGGGTGGGCTGGCAGAGGGGAAGGGCCAACAATGAAGTTACAGATGGATGAGTGGGTTTCTGCCGCAAAATCAGATGAAGGAGAGAGAGGGAAAGACAAAATATAGGGAGGAAAAAAAAAAAAAAAGTGTGAATGACCAAGGCAGTAAACCTGTAGAAAATTAGAAAAGAAAAACTTGCCACGGAAGAGGTGGGAGGAGGTATACAATTGCAGATAACTCTCTATTATAAATAGATTGCATCTGCGCTATTTATTTTATATTTTAGCAAATCTCTGAAATTTTCGTGGTAATTAGACTTACTGCGAGGCAGTTATTTAAAAAGTATAGACCCTCCTTTTGCCACAGAACACTCCCTAGTCCTTGGAAGATGGGTGTCAGAGCTCTGGGACCCTAGTACATCTCTGTCTAGGGACACTTACCTGGCTTAAGTGAGTATAGTATTAAATTTTACTTCATATTTTTGTGATGGTGTGAGATTGAATTTTGCACAGTGTGATAGGAATATATTTACAGTACCTTTCATTTTTGCCTTTTCCTTGCCCCCTACTTATTATTATCAATATTGTTGTTGTAATTATTTTAAACAAGTAGGAGTGAATATGGTATGCGTAATTGAAACACTCCTCCTTGTCTGAAATTTTGTCTCCTCCTCTGCAGTCCTGCAGCAACGACAGGCACACAGGCTTTCTCTGTGGATTAATTGGTCAGGAAAGACACTTTTTATATTGTCAAGTGGCACTTAAGCCATTAATTCTTGACTGTGAAACTGCTTTTCCTGGGCAATGCTCTTTAAGGAAAAACTTATTCAGTCCAGTGACTGGTGACTAAGGGAACGATGGAGCACAGGGGATTGGGCGGGATCTAGACTCCTAATAATGCCTTCTTAGCCAATGAAAAGCATTTCCTATTGAGACCCCCAAGAGTTCCCCTGGCCCTCGGCTCCAGCTCGGACTTCAGGCCTTTTTGTGTCCTGTTTGCTAAAGGCATGCGGGCTACAGCATTCAAGAGAGGGAGTCGTTAACAAAGGGAAAGAGATAAATGTAAATAAGCTCACATTTTCAGAATGAGCGGTTTGCAGTAAGAAGCTGCGGCAGCCCAGAGTCTGCTACTTTAGGCTGGGCTAACCTTTCCCTGTTAAAAAAAAAAAAAAAAAAAATGGATAAAAATATGCACTTCCAAAGGGCGAGGTGCCCATTTACATGTTTATTAGTTAATTATCTACAGGCATCAGCACATTCTCTCATCTAGCACACTCTTTCTTGGGGTAAGTTTCTCTTTGAGAAAGATTTGATTTTGGCGTTTGGGGGTGGGGGATAGCATAACAAACTACAGTGGAAACACTGATGCTTTGAGAGTGTAAGGAAAGAAGTTAGACTTCAACTCTGAAGTACTGAACAAGGATCTTCGTGTTGAATGGTAAAAAACGAGAATTTCCATTGTTTTGGCAATAATATTGTTTCCGTGGAAGAGATACAGGATTTTCAGGCTGCTGTTTCATGTAAACACAGTTGTTCTAAAGAGCTAATTTAAAATCACAGTGTAGAACAATTTAGAAAGTATATTGGCTAGCTTTGTATTTCTTTGGTTTACAATTTATTGTGAGCTAACGTGGCTTGTATTATGATGAGGTTTCTTCTAGTAAAACTATACATGACATGCCTTTGATGCTTAATTGATTTATGGAGAATGTGACATTTGCTATATTGAATAATTTATGAACTTGCCCATAAAGGAAGAATCATGTTTGAATGAAAAACTCTGTCATAAACTGCATTTGCTATTATATGTGAAATTAATTGCTGTTTGCCATACAAATGCATCAATATGTCATCTTTAAACTCTCTTCTTGTAAATTTTAAATATTTTCAGTAAAAAGGTCTTACTGAGTTGATAAATATTGTATTTCAGTTACTTTTTAAAATGAAATTCAGCAATGTAATTTATCATTATTTCAGTGTGGAAAAGACTAGATAAATTCAAAGGTCAGAACATTTCAGAGCTTGGTGGGGTTATTCAGTTTGCTACCTTACAAAATTATACCATCTTTATTTATCTTGACAAACATGAAGACAATAATAATAACCTGAGATCCAGATTATCCAATGGCTTTGCAACACGTTTATTTTTCAGAACAAAATTCCAAACATCGTATCCCATCAACATAGATTATAAAACCCTTTGCCTTGTCACAGATGAAAAGTTGCACTCTTGCCAAGAAGGATGAGTTCACCTGATAAACTTGATGGCATCTACATTCTAAAGCATCTCCTGCCAATCAGAGATGAGAATGAAAGCCTTATTGGAACAATCAGGCCTGTCTTTCAGAATGTGCTCTGCAAGTTAAAGGGAGAACCAGGAAGATGCCTCACAGAAACATTCAGGCCAAGCTTAGCTAAAGCTTGATCTATTCAATTGCCTTTGTGGGAAAATGCAGTGAGAATTGTTGCCCTTGCTGTGATTTGTTCAGCGCCTAATTGTGTAGTTACCTTTTGTCTGTGTATGTGGTCATGATATATAGTCTGCCCTTTGCCTTCTGATGAGGGAAGAACAAAACCTGTAACGTGTTTGCGAATATTAGTACTGAAAATTGGGAGCCTGATAAAAGGTTACCTACCACTGGGAATCCACCTTTACTTTAAGTGGATAAATAATCAGTTATGAGAACAATGCATAGGGTAAATGATGTAATGATTCTACATGGTTATGTCCTGAAGTATGCTGATAACCTCATATTCTGAGGGGTGAAGTGACCAGGAAACAGGTGGGAAGGGTTGAGGGTTGAGACCTAACAATTAGAGTTGATATGCCTGCTGAAATGAGCACAAGGACAGAGGATGAGGAAAATAAGGGAATTTGGAAGACTTTAGGATATTAGTGGCATCTTTCTCTGTGATTCTTAGCTTCCGGTATTAATTAATACTATTTATTTCTAATATTCAAATAAATCTAGTAATCATTTCATTAAGTCTAACAAAAATTAATGACCCTCCTTGCTTGCAGACTTTGAGGAAATAAAAAATGTTTTACAGTGGCCAATGTAAACAGGTGAAAATAAATGATAGAAAAGAATAGCCAATAAGGCCACCAGCATGGCACTCGTTGAAGGTTGCTTTTCTGTCAGTCAAAACCGAAGATTAAAGGAGAAGAGAAACTGAGACTCAGAAACGGACTGTGACTTGCTCTCACAGTGCTTGTGATGGGGCTGGATGTGTCTACATTTAATTAATATTAGTTATAAAAACTTCTGGGTACTTGAACTTCCTAATTTGATTGGATTTTGAATAAAAAATTTTCCGTATAATCTTTATCAACTGTGAAAGGCATAAAATAATGTTAATGCTTCTATCTTCCTTTACAATAAACCAATAAAATAATATTCATTTCATTCCAGGAATACAGATTTCTGGTGGAGTGTGAAAACCAACTCTCCTTAATATTAAGATGATCTCAATATATCTTAAATTATCTAATCATTTTATTTATTTTGGTTTTTTAGATTGTAGAAAAATCATTTCAGGAAAGTCGTAATACTATTTAGCAGTTTGCTTTGTTTTAGTCTACCTCTGTTTAGAAAAGGATGAGATGTAACAATAGTGTAAGTTTGGAGCTAGGGGATGATTCTACTTTACAGGTGGAAGCACTGTAATGGGTAAATTCTAAATGCAGTTGCTACTTGTAAGAATTCCATTGCAGAGTATTTCTGGTTCTATACAAATATTTTGTGCAGAGTTTGAATTGGAGATGTTACAGACATGCTATATTGGGTAGGCCTGGGACATCCTGGTAAAGGTGCAGTGATTGTCAGTCAGTGTGCTAATACCCAGTAATCGAAGCCTTGATCATATCACTGTAGTTCAGTGGAGAGAGAAATTGTGTGGGGTGTAGGTAAAAAACAAGACAGTGGAGTCTCCACCTGTTGTTCCAGTCATCTTTCCTCTTCCCTTATGAAGGACCTGCCCAATGGTAACAGTTGTTGCCAAGAAAAGAAGAAGAAGAAGAAGAAAAAAAAAAAAAAACAACAACGTTAGTTCACGCCAAAACAAAATTCTCCTTTGTTTTGGTATTTTTAATGTAACACATTACTTTATGGAAGTGGAGGGAAGTATTTTTATGTCTTTTGTCACTCATTGTCTTTATGATTATAGGTTACCACATGTGGATTTTATGCATTAGGGTTTAGTCAGTACTACTAACAAAATATAGCACAGCAGTGACAGGTTGGAAAATACATTGTTATCTGCAATTCTGTAATAATGAAATCCAATGCATGTAAATACTATTTTAAAATTTATTGGGTCTCATTTACTCTGGTTTATATCATGTAATGCTTTTTCTATCTTATGATCTTTTATAAGATCATTTTATTGAAAATATACATTTTATTGAAAAACTATCAGCTCTCTTTATGGCACACTATTATTACTATTTCTATTTCACAGCACCCATTGGAGGAAATCTCTAACTACAGTGCCTCCAGGAAGCTCATTGGTTATTCCAGTCTTAGATAAAATTGGTACCAGGATTTGGTTCGAACTAATGTGGTAAGTCCTACCCTCCTGATAATAACTTTCTCTACAAATTCCTAATTTAATTCTTCTATCTTTGTTGTAACAAATAGTTCCAACTTATTAAAGATTGTATCATCCGAAGATCCAGAATGGATGGAGGAATTGTAATTTGTTGTAATCCAGGCAATTTTGATGTAGATGAATATTGATTCTTTAGCTCAACCCCTCTCTGCCACTGGGATTTACCTTTAGATATGGGAGACTCTTTTTATTGCTATTACCAGGTTCAGTGTCCAAGTATATCACATGAATTGGTGTCCAAACTGATAACTGATTTGCCTGTTCAAATATATGGAATAATGTCAAAATCCTGGCCGGCATATATGACCCTTACAGAAATTGGAAATGAGTTATTTTGGGAACACCCAAAAATTGTCCCAAAAGATTTGGGACTTCTGCTGAGATAAGATATTGAGTCTCAAGGCTCAAGACAATTTTATAATATTAGGTTGAGCAATTTACCTGTAGTTGACTTACTCTGTAACTAAGTACTATAGAAAATTCTACTTTAGTAGGGCTGATGCAATCTTTGGCCCCATCATGTTGAGCACCAGACCACATTATTTCCCAAAGATTGGACTGTGTTATCAACTGAAGTGTTAATGAGTGACTGAAGTATTTTTTTTCTTTTTTGATGAAAAGAAAAAAATATCAAGTTAATCACTGAGAATAGGATTTTATCAAATTGAGGCCCATATCAGTTTCCTGTTTTCCTCAAATAAAATGGAGGGACAAAGCAGCCTTAATAATCTTAGTGAAAACCAGATTAGATGTAGATAAGTCACTTTTAAAAGGGTATTTCTTGCATCCAAAATGAAAGAGGTTGATATAGATCAATTTCCTAACTCCATTCTTGAGTGAAATATTTATCTATGGTTCCCTCCATATGGAATGCCATAAAGTTAGGTTTTGTTTTAAAAACTATTACAAAGCATCAACCAATGCATGGGAACATTGATACAAAACCTGCATGATTGTGACCTATGCCTGTGACTTGACTGAGAAAATTTCCTTAAGGTGTCTTATCTGTTAAAAACCACTGATTTGAGAAGCAACAGTCTGAACATATTCCCTATTGCTCCAGCAGGATTGTTTTGAGCTGTATTTTCACAACATTTGTGTATTTTTAAATCTGCTTCACTGCTAAGTATCTATAGATAAGAACACAATAGATTTCATCTTCCTCTGAAAACTATTGTGTCAACTTTCATAAACTTTGACCAGAGTAGAACAAGGAAATGCTCTGGGGATCAGAAGCACTCTGACCTGGCCTGCGCTTATTAAAAGTGGAGCAAAGCAAAAATAATTTTAGTATACTCTTCCTTCAAGGCCTGTCTTCCTGAGCTCTGGACTGTCCTCTGTAGGGACGAAAAGCAAGTCAGCTTTTCTAGGGTACTAGGAATATTTATGCCAGAAGTTGGAGCTTTGTTTTCAATGTATCATCTGAAAGTTTAGCATTTCATGAAGTAAAGTGATTTGGTTATTCACCCTTATAGGGCCAAAAGGCTAACTTTACTTCTTACAGGAGCCTTAAGGACCCCAAACATGGTTTACTTGTATTTTACTATCATTAGGAATTTTTTTTTTTTTGAAAAAGAGGAAACAATTGTGGCCACTCTGAATTAGCTCCATGTGTAGATCGAAGTTAAAAGTTGAGGGTCAGATTTCTTTCCGGTCAACCTCCAAGGTACCTGCTTCCTGTCCATTGTCAATAAAAATGCAGCTATCCAACACTCTCTGACATCCTTAGGTGATTAAATGTCAGAATAATTGGCAGCAGAGGTTTGCAGAAGACAGTAGTTTAATGCTTCTTGCAGTGGAAAATGTAATTAACTGCATCAGCATATATTTTTCCTTCTTCATCTCATCTGAAGCTCAAGTGTTGGTCCTTTGTTTCCATTTGGTGCACAATATGTTGGCTATTTAGGAGGATCTAATAGATAGAAACACTGTTTCTTTTAGTCAAAAGAAAGGAAGCCAGTAAGAAGAGAGGCTAATACTGATTCTTCTTCAGAATCATCTCAAAAGCCAAATGCCTTTCTGGTTTTTTAATCATACCTGTCTGGGAGATATTACCTTGAGGGCGCACTCCTGGATTGTCCTGTTTGAGTAAATTATGTAGTTAAGGCTGAAACTCAAGGGGGTGCTTTCTGAGGTACAAGGTATACATGACACTAGAAGGATGTGTTCCTAATATGAACTTCAGGGTACCAAAAAGAGACAGAAATATAAAGTTACAGTTGTTTCAGGAAAAGAGAAGGAAACAAACTTATATAATGTTTCTCTGTGGTTAGGTAGAGCCAAATACTGGCCAGCTCATAAAGCAATTCACAAGCCCTATTGAGTCTTCCTAGCTTTAGCTGTGAGGCTTAGAGGTAAAGTTTATACAAGGAAGAGAGAGAGTATAGCCAAGTTACAGAGTGAACCAGTGTCTGAGTCAGAAATAGAACTCCTTGCTTCTAATGCTGTGTTAAGTCCCAGCACCACACCCTCACTTCTAGACGGCAAAGGTGGTTGTGTGTTCAAGCAACGGGAGCTATGAATAGGGCCATAGTGGCAGTTTTCCCATGCCCTCTCTTCAGGATTGAGAATGTAATGCTTTCTTGTCTGTCCTTTCTCTCCCACAAAGTTTGATTACTCAGAGCAGCAGAGCAGAAGTGCCAGGCATTTGCAGGCTGCTTGCTGTGGGTATAATGTATATGTTCCCGCGAACATAAAACTGAAGTGAGGGGATGGATATGTTAATTAGCTTGACATAATCACCTCATGTAGTATACATATATTAAAACATCGCCTTGTACTTACATAAATGTAGTATAATTGTGATTTGTCAGTTAAACATAATGCAAATAAAAAATAAAATGATTGAAATCATAAAACATCTGAATGGAAAACTGGGGAGATCTATTTGAAATATATCAACTTGAGAATCACAAAATAATATACAGCCAGTGAGCTAGAATCATGCTGCGTAAAAGGATCACTAGTGGGCAGACTGGAGGGACTTTGGGCAGAAGGGAAAAGGATTCTATTATAAAAGCATTTTCCAAATAAAATAATTGTACTGGCAGTACTTATTGTAGAGGATAAGTTCAAGCCGATCCTAGTGAATAAAGCTTGACTTTAATGTTAGAGATTTTGCAGTCCCATAAATTCTGTTTTAACTATCAGTTTTATATTTTTGGACTCTTGATTGACCCACACCTTCCTCACATTCATTGCAATGCTATAGTATTGCACTTATTGTATTGAGTGTGAGCTTTCCTGCTCCTACAACATACTCTTATAGTACCTTTAAATATATGATAGATGTTCAAAAAATACTTGTCAAACCAAATGGAATGTGCATGTTTTTTTCCAATCTGGGTGGACAGAATATCTTATTACACAGAAATCATATATGGAAAGCAAATTTGATTATTTGTTCCATCTTGTCTCTCATAGGAGGAAAATATTTCCTACCGGTCCCTAGTGTCAGAGTGGTGAACCCCTGCAGCCAGCAGGCCTCCTGAAAAAAAGTCCATGGGTGACAGAAGATTCATTGACTTCCAATTCCAAGATTCAAATTCAAGCCTCAGACCCAGGTTGGGCAATGCTACTGCCAATAATACTTGCATTGTTGATGATTCCTTCAAGTATAATCTGAATGGTGCTGTCTACAGTGTTGTATTCATCTTGGGTCTGATAACCAACAGTGTCTCTCTGTTTGTCTTCTGTTTCCGCATGAAAATGAGAAGTGAGACTGCTATTTTTATCACCAATCTAGCCCTCTCTGATTTGCTTTTTGTCTGTACCCTACCTTTTAAAATATTTTACAACTTCAACCGCCACTGGCCTTTTGGTGACACCCTCTGCAAGATCTCTGGAACTGCATTCCTTACCAACATCTATGGCAGCATGCTCTTTCTCACCTGTATTAGTGTGGATCGTTTCCTGGCCATTGTCTATCCCTTCCGATCTCGTACTATTAGGACTAGGAGGAATTCTGCCATTGTGTGTGCTGGTGTCTGGATCCTAGTCCTCAGTGGCGGTATTTCAGCCTCTTTGTTTTCCACCACTAATGTCAACAATGCAACCACCACCTGCTTTGAAGGCTTCTCCAAACGTGTCTGGAAGACTTATTTATCGAAGATCACAATATTTATTGAAGTTGTTGGGTTTATCATTCCTCTGATATTGAATGTCTCTTGCTCTTCTGTGGTGCTGAGAACTCTTCGTAAGCCTGCTACTCTATCTCAAATTGGTACCAATAAGAAAAAAGTTCTGAAAATGATCACAGTACATATGGCAGTATTCGTGGTATGCTTTGTACCCTACAACTCTGTCCTCTTCCTGTATGCGCTGGTGCGCTCCCAAGCTATTACTAATTGCTTTTTGGAAAGATTTGCAAAGATCATGTACCCAATCACCTTGTGTCTTGCAACTCTGAACTGTTGTTTTGACCCTTTCATCTATTACTTCACCCTTGAGTCCTTTCAGAAGTCCTTCTACGTCAATACCCACATCAGAATGGAGTCCCTGTTTAAGACTGAAACACCTTTGACCACAAAGCCTTCCCTTCCAGCTATTCAAGAGGAAGTAAGTGATCAAACAACAAATAATGGTGGTGAATTAATGCTAGAATCCACCTTTTAGGTATGAGAACTGTGTTCAGGTCCAGATATGGTTTCTCCTATAATTTTTCCTATGCTATAAACTAAAGATTTGAAGCTAATGATACTGAGAACAATGCACCAAATCCAATCAGATACATTTGTTTGATGGTATACTGTGCAGTTTTTATTGCTGTTTTGTTCAGTAATTATAGGTCAAGTCTAATTACAACAACCAAGATGGATTGCCAAACTCTCCTGCTTGGTTGGAATTTCATTGTATCACACTATCCATGTGGCCAGTGGCATTTGATAATATAGAGATGACTTTGAAACTTTCAAAAAGGTATTTCCATTCCAGTGATATTTGGTAATTAGGTTGGACCTATAAATATAGAACAAATTCAGGGATTTTTAAAAAATTGTGTTACTACTGATGTATGCTAGTTTTATTTCTCTTTTGAATTGTCATTGAGTTTATTTTAGCACAAGAATATTTTTAGCCTAACATTATTAATAAGAAATGTGTCAAATTTTTGTCATCAGTAAAATATGTTATGTGCATTTTGAAAACAGAGAATAAATTGTGTTGGCATGTACGTGGGTGGGAAGAAAGAGAAAATTAATGGGATTTACACAATTATAATCACCAGCAGTGTGAGTTTTAAAAACTTCGTTGGTTTTACACCACATTAAAATTTTCATGTCAAACTTCAAAGCCAGAAAGCTGCTAAATATGTGTCTGGCAGGTAAAAGCTGGAAAATTACTTAAAACAATAAAATGTCAATAAAAAACTGGAGCAACAACATGTTTTTTTCTTAAAAAGTCATGTTATCTTCATTGTGGGAAACTAGGTTCTATAAAATCTTTATCCTCCCTATTATACTTTGGAGCACAGCACAGCCAGAAAGGGGCTGCATTTGTGCCCAGGTCAGGAGCAAATTGAAAAAAATAAAGTAATACAAATAATCAAACTATAAAGCAAAAACATTTATTAAAAACTGAATTAATCATTTTTGGAGGGAGGAGTAGAGATACATAACCTGAAAATACTTATTCTTTCTTATTGAATTTTGGAGTATAATATAGCCAGGAACTGCTGAATTTGTACCCCTAGATTGGAAGCAAATCGAAAAAAAAAAAAAAACCAGCACATAAGCTAAACCAAACCAGAACAAAAAAACTACAGAACCCCAAGAAAAACAAAAATAAAAAAAAAAAACCTCAAAAATAATTTGTAACACTTTCATTACCATTTGTTGAGGTTCTGTAAATTTAAAAATACTATGTCATTTGCATAAAATTTTGAAGCACAATGCAGCTACAAAGTGGCTAAATTCATCTCTGGTTAGGAGCAAATTGTGGGAAAAAAAGGTCAAAAATCAAACTCCTATAAAACAAACAAAATGAGCACAAACAAAATTTAGAATTTGCATTTTCTGAACATCTGAAAAAGTTACAAAGCACTGTAACATTCATATGATGCTTTGGATCAAAATGCAACTAAGAAGCTGCTAAACTGGCACCCAGTTTAAAAGCAATTAAAAACAGTATTTTAAAATCTACAAAAAAGAAAACATTTTTTATAGTTTACTTAAACAACAAAAATCTTTAAAACTCTTACTATTTTTTAAACTAAAGTGGATATTTAAGAATATTAAAACTTGTAAATATAACTTCTGAGTTGAAAGATGCTACATTTTTGCTCAAGTCAGGAGCAGTGGAAATAAACCCTTATATACACACATACACAGCAGCAGCAACAACAAAAAAAATTAAATGTTACACCCTGAAAAACAACAAAAATCTTTTAAAATGTGCATTAATCACTTTTAAAAATATTTGGATAACATGACAATTTAAAAATGCTAAGAATTTTAAAATAAAACTTCCAGGAACAACGTATGCTGTAGGTTGCTGAACTTGTGCCAGAAAGTGGTTAAACATTTATAAAGCGCAGAACAATAACAAAAAAGTAAAACTTCTAAAACAATAAGCAAATTTTTAAAACTCATTAACTTGTTTTTCTTTCTGATGATATGCAGACTTAAAAATACTGAGATTTTTAAGTAAAAATCTGTGAGCGTAATGTAACTTTAAAAACTGTAAAATCTGTGTCTGGGTTAGGAATGAAGTGAAAAAATGCTAAAACAATAGTAAAAATAAATTCTTAAAACTGGCATTACTTTTTCCCAATGAAAGTCCTAAAAGTAATTATGCATTATATAGTTTTATGAAAAGAGGCTATAGATGGAATACATAAGGCATTAGGTTCAGTTAAATACAGTTAGGTTAAGATAAGTTCAGTTGTTTATATGGTAGGATGAAATCAGTAATAGAAGCATGAATAATCTTTTGTTTATTTCAGTATTCATGTTTTTCCATTTCTTGTAAGTATAAAATATATGTGAACGTTTATTTGTGCCCTTGCTTCTTAACATTATAAAATTTTATGATTATGACACCAAACCATTTAATGGGATATTAACTAAGTTGAAATAAAATATATTATTAAATGTTTCTTGTTGTGTAATTTCCATGTTTAGTTTTAATTTTTTTATATTTCACTTTTTAAATTTCCATTTTTATAGTTAATATAAATTGCTAATAATAAAACTTATCACATTAACAATGTAACCAAGAAAATGTAAAGTATAACTAAATATAAAAGTGACTATGTTACATCGAAAGGAAAAGCAATTTTATGGCTATAATTGCAACTTGGATTTTAAATGTTTATTAAATATAATAAAATATATTTGAATTATCTAGCAGTTATACTTTGATCAATTATTCAACTTCCTTTATTTTTGGCCACCCAAAGGCATATCTTCTTTATCTTCCCTTCATCGTTTCAAAAAGGAATTATTGGAATATATTTGCTCAAATTAATTTCAATAATTCATTTCTGAGGCTATCTGAAGACCAATGCAAAATTGGCAAATGGCAAATTCCTGGGTAACTTTTCAGGGATCAAGATAAAAGACTAATGACCTCTTTTCCTGATTTTTCTAACTTGGGTTTGATTTATTTGGGATTGTTAGCCAAGCTGACTTTGGATTTTAATTTCTAGGATTTGACAAAATATTCTAGGACAACTGGGAACCCTGGGAAAAGCTAGGGCAAACAGATCATCTGACAATAAGATGAATGTAGACCTAAGTGGCTGACAGATTAATACCTAGAACAGGTGATGGTCCCGAGGTAGCAAGACAGGGAATTTCTGGTCATCATTCTCATGCCTCTAACTCTCAGGGATGGCAGTGTCAGCATCTCAAGCACCATATGCTGTGTTAGTTCCCCAAGAGATGACAGCAAACTCTGCATTTTCTGATCATGACTAGCACGATCAGCCCTAGGCTACATTTAAAACTAGAGTAATTTTGCCATTAATGATGTCCTAGGCCAGGTCCCCAGAAACATAGGGACAGAAGCTGTAGGTTTCACATCCCTATTTGCCCTCTTCTACCTTTTTTCTCCACCCCCAATCCCTGTACCTTATATTTAATTTGGTTTCCCAAACTTCACATTCTCTACCTGTTTTTCCTGTGGTCTTTGTGTTCTCCAACATCTTTTCCCACCCTCTCCAGAAATATTGCTTCTTCCTGAACAAAAACACAACACATAAAGCTCTGTCAAGACAGTGACAGGCTGAACAGATTTACATTAAGGTGTGAATGATTGATCCCCCATTTTTCTCTCCTTGACTGGTTTTAACCTTCTGGTGTTCGCATCTTAGAAAAGGAGTCTGTTTAATTCAAATGACTGTCTGAAGCAGGGTCAGGATGGGAAAACATGATTGTCCTGGTAAATGGTAAATCATCTGTCAAGCCTCAGCCTCTCTTGCCTTGAGGTGGAGCTTCTGCACTGCAGACTTTCTTGTCCTGCTCCCTTGAGCTCACTTTGTGTTCTGTTGAGTCCAAAACATACACTACCTGCTTCTAGACAGCCCTCTTTTCCAAAACCACCTGAAGTGACTGGGAGCCTGTATTCTCATTTCATATAGGCATGGATTCTTTCCCTCAACTATCTCCTGATTCTGGTGGGTTTGGTGAAATTAGGTAAAATAAGAAGCAGATTGTTTATATTTTATGAACAAGGAAGCAAAAGAGCACAGGCTACTGAGTCAAAATCTCCACTGTATGCAGAGTTTTAAGAACCACATACTGCCTACTGTTTTGCTTCCTTCCCTCTCTGAGGGCCTGGAAATGAAGCTCTTCTTTACTAAATATACAAAGAGATACTGAGTTCAGGACCTCAGAGGAGCAGGTCTAGTGGGAGGCCTAAAATGTGGCAGTGAAGGAAGTCAAGCGGGTTCTCAAGTTGGCATGCCTAGTGTGGCCCTAGCAGCCAGCTTTCCTTCCTGTTTATCATGCAGCAGTTCAGACTTTGTAGATAAAAAGGTAGTCACAAAGAGCCCTCATGCCTTACATTGATGTTCCAGGGTAAATTGTCTCCTCTTCGCATTGTCGCCTTTCCTCCGCTAGTTGGTGGTAGCAAAACCAAAACTATGGGTCGCTTTCCTCAATTGGGAACCTGGAACTTCTTGACTAGACCCAGTTAAAGACAGTTTGAAGTTCCTGAGAAACAAATTGGCTGGGACAATGCCTAGGGATCCAGAATTCATTCATTTACTTATTCAACAAATTTCTTGAATACCAACCATGTGTCAGACATTCTTCTAGGCATTGGGGGTACAATGGTGACAATAACAGAAAAAAATCCTTGTCATTTTAAAACTTATGCTCTGGAGTCAGAGCAAGCAGAACCACCAACAAACAAATAAACAAGTTAAAAGTAATAACAGTGTTTTCTGGCTGGAACCATGGAGGGTGTCAAAGAGAAGAAGAAGAAGGTTTCTGTTGTGCCGGAAATCCTTAAGAAAAAGCAAAGTAATTTTGCAAAGCTGAAGATCAATCACCGGAGAAAGAAGTTTGCCCAAAGATGCTTTGAAAAACAAGGAGAAAACTTATCTATGAAACAGCGAAGCACTATTACAAGGAATATAGGCAGGTGTACAGAACTGAAATTCAAATGGCTAGGATGGCAAGAAAAGCTGCAAATTTTATGTACCTGCAGAAACCAAATTGGTATTTGTCATCAGGATCAGATGTATTAATGGTATAAGGCCAAAGATCTGACAGGTGTTGCAGCTTCTTTGCCCTCGTCACATCTTCAGTGAAACCTTTGTCAAGCTCAACAAGGCTTCAATTAACATGCTGAGGATTGTAGAACCATATATTGCATGGGAGTACCCAAATCTGAAGTCAGTAAATGAACTAATCTACAAGCGTTCTATAGCAAAATCAGTAAGAAGCAAATTACTTTGACAGATAATACTTTGACTGCTTGATGTCTTGGTAAATAGGACATCATTTGCATGGGGGATCTGATTCATGAGATCTATACTTTTGAAAAATGCTACAAAGAAGCAAATAACTTTCTGCGGCCCTTCAAATTATCCTCTCCATGAGATAGAATGAAGAAAAAGACCACCCATTTTGTAGAAGGTGAAGATGCTGGCAACAGGAGGACCAGATCAACAGTTTTATTAGGAGAATAAACTAAGGTGCCTACCATGCTTATTTTTTCTAATATGGTCAGTAAATAAGCAGTACCTGCTCTCAGATTAAAATAAAAAAATGTAATAAGAACAGATGATAAGTGCTATATGCAAAAATAGAGCAAACATGTACATTAAACAAAATTCCATGCTCCACAGCAGGACTGGATTTAACTTTAATGGTTGTAAGCATTCATAAGATGAAGATGCTCCATTCTCAATAAACACATAAAATGAAAACTAATACTAAACTTATCAATGTATGTAAGGAAGTACAAAAAAAGTTGATTCTTAGATATCGCGTTTCTAATGCTTGTTTTTAAATGGGTTATGAGGGCCTGAAGTGCTGTTGTCCAAAATTTGTGCTTAGTTAATACATTTTGGATTGTTTATGATCTGGTTCAAGGCACAGGGATTCCAGAAGACTAATGAAGGTCCAAGCCCAGGCAACCTCTGGTCAGCAATGCTGATCATGTTTTGGTCTCAGCATCACCTTTCTTGTGCTTTCTCTTGCTTTAGGCAAGAGACTCTCTCTCTCTCCCTCTTTCTCTCACCCCCACTCCCACACACACACCCTCCTCCTTCTTGCT